GGCTCCGATAGTTTCGACTCCGCGGCGGCAACGACGTCGTCGACGGCGGTGGCTCCGCAGCGGGTGATGGTGGCGGTGCTCCAAGCCGGCACCCTGCCGCCGCCGCCGCCGCCATGGATGTGGTAGTACTCACGGGGTCGTCGGGAGAGGACGAGGGTAGTCGCTCCGAGGGAGGGTACGGCGGGGGCGGGGGCGGGGCCATCCGCGACACCGCGAGGGAGATGGAGTGCGCGTCGAGCGCTCCCAGAGCGAGATCCTGTCCGTCGATAGGGGTAAGAGGGCTCAGCGACATCGTGGCCGGGGGATATGGGAGCGGGGGGGTCAGAAACCTCATGGAAGGTTGTGACTGTAAGGCCAAATACCCGTTGTCTCTTGACAGATTTCTCTATCAACAGTAGTGGGACGTTGCTTGTTGTTGTTGTTGCTGTTGTCTCCACCTTCAAAACCGTTCCCGTCACAGACAACAACTCCCAAAAGGGTATCCAACAACGAAAGTGCCAACGACAACGGTAGCAGCACCAACACTAAGAGCACTTCCGCTGCGGTCGGCCCCAACAACAACGACACCACCAACGACAACGGCAGCAGCACCAACAGAACCAGCAACAACGACACGAACACCAACAGCGACAACGCCCACGCCAACGAGAGCAAGAGCAATACCAACACCATCAACTGCACAACCACCACCAACAGCAACACCAACATCATCAACAACGACAGCAACACCATACCTTGAGAAGTTCTTCCACGCTAGCGGCCGCCTGGTCTCGAGCCGGACCCCTTTCCTCCTCCAGAACAGCAACCGAGGCCACCGCACCACCCCCACCCCCGTCTACCCCTCCGCCACTGCCGTCTGCACCACCCTGCTGCGCTACCCCTGCCGACCCCTCGCTGGGTCGCCCTCCTGCTTTTCGCGAGGAGGGGGAGGGGGGGGAGGAGGGGTTGAAGGGAGTGCGACCAAAGAAACGACAAAAAAAAAACGTTTGCGTGTTGTGAGCAGCATATTCTTCTTCCGAGCAATTGGAAGGGAGTAAACCACCTACAAAAAACAAAAAAAGATAACACGACGTTTAACTAAAATACGAAGCAAAGAAAAGGTTTTGGCGGGAGACAGCGCGCCATGTAACATCATCTCCGAGACAAGTCTTCTCTCTCTCAAGCATCCTCACCTAGCGCTTCGGCTAACGCCGCCCCCTCTCCCCCCCCCCAAACGTGATCCCGCAAGGTGGCGATGCATGCCTCGAGCCTCGCCACCTCCTTCTCGTATAGCTCGGCCATGTTTTTCTTGCGCTGCCGCCGCACCCTCGCAGACGCCCGGTTCCTTTCCAGCCTGGTTGTAGTAGTTGTAGCATTACAGTTAACGCGAGGGATGAAGAAACAAACCTTTTCAGAAACAAGGGCTCACATTTTGGCGATCAGTAAGAAGAGTCGAATAAGAAACATAGGTCAGCCGTGGTTTCTACTGGTACACAAAAACCTATATAATGAAGTACCTACGCTCGATTGCGGCGACGAAATAATAAATGTGAGCCTCGGCCCCAAACTGACGTTTCTCAAACCCGGGCGCTGACGGTATTGTATTAGTTGATGTTACCTTCAATGTTGTTGTTGTAGTTGTTAACTTCATTAATGTTGCGATTGTGGTTGGCGTTCTTGTTATTAACGTCGACGACTCGTTGTTGTTGTGGTTGTGGTTGTGGCTGGCGTTGTTGTTCCTGTTGTTCTCTCCGTCCGTGCTGTCTCGTGAGACGAAACGTTGAAAAAAATATTGACATCCGTTGCTGATCGGCCAGGCCCAACAGTCCAACACGATACAAAAGTACCAACGAAAGACTCTCGAAGTTTGTGTCGGAACGAAAGCTACGGTACGGTACATCATGCGGCATGTAACAAAGGTATATTCTTCTCAAGAGGGCCCGCGTAGCGGGATTCCTGACGTCCTGCCCCCCTTCCCCCCCCACCGCCGTACATTACCTTCGGGACCGGCGCTGGTCCATGCCCCCGGTTCCCCCTCCTCCCAACTCCCCCAGGCTCGGGCAAGATGTCACCGGCTTCATGCTGCTGCTGCTGCTGCTCTGCATCCTCACTCCGCTCGAGAAACCGCCATGCCCCCCCCCCGCTGCCGCCGCCGCCGCCACTTTCCCAATCCCGCCGGCCCCCTTTGGTGCCGCCCCCGCGCGCAACCGCTCAGCCGACGCCCCTCCCGCTGATTTGCCTATGACATCCCATTCCATGCTCACGGAACGCCCGCCGATCAAGGGCACCGTAGTTTCCGGTCCACTTTCTCGACTTCGCGTGCCCCCCCCTGCCGCCGCCGCCGCTGCCGCAGCCGCCGCCATCATCAACGCCGGAAATTTCGCAGCGCCGGGGTTCCCGGCGATGGCTTTTCGCGCCGCCGGTGCGGGTCCTCCTCCTGTTGCCCTCGCTGCTGCTGCTGCTGCTGCTACTCCTGACTGCTGTCCCG